AAAAGGCCAGACATGCTTGACAACAGTAAACAAGTGATATAAATACTTTTTCCACCAAATGAAGCAAAACAAAGATCAAAGCCTAGTGTGTGCTGAAGAACAGCTGAGAAGGGTCTTCATTTATTGCAGAGATATTATTAAAGATTTTATCTCACAAGGTGATCAACAAACATATCTCCCCCGAATGACTTCCTATTGTTTGGTCACATCTTGCCTCAGCTGCAGAAGGAAACTTTACGTATTCCACAACAGTTCAAAGTGAGTTATATATGCAAAAATAAATTCTGTCATTAAAGGAAATAGTTATACATTTGCTCAGTGGCTGTGAAATTCACAGGAATTTGAGCTTGGTTAGGCTGAATTTGGGCCCTAACACAGGGCTGAATAATTACTGCAGCGGAACCTAATTGGTTTCTTTGTCCCACTGCCTTTAAATACAGAGGTTCAATCTACTAGCCTGTACTGTTTAGGTACATTTGCAAGAGGGAGGTTACAAGGAGTCGAGCTCCTCCTCTTCCACTTCTTTTCCTTGGTTTTTGGTTCTTGCATTGTACTGGTTTGTGTGCTTTTCAGATTCCTCTTCATTGGTCAAATCATCTAGCAATAAAATAACCAGAGGAAGTAAAGCTTTCTGCTGGGGTAAAGAACTAAGTCAGCTCAGCAAAGATTCCAGCAGGAAGGCGTGTGGAGGAGGAAGGGGCAAGACTGCAAGGAAGGGAGAAAAGAGAAATTAAACCTTTCCCTCTTCAACAGCAATGAGCTGTTATATCAGTTAATTCCCTTTCGAATCACAGCCCAGAGGTCAGGCTCACCAGTCAGAACCTTTCCATGCTCCACACCAGCTGTCTGCAGGACCACTATATAATGCATAACTATTATGAACAACTGTAGAGATTTTAATGCATCTAGCAGAATCAACAGGGTAAACAAAATTAGGTAGAGGAAAAAAAATGGACAGCCCCTCCCCATCACCACACCTAAACTCTGAAAGACATCTAAAATTCTGTTCTCTGCAAAGCTAAAGATATCAATTGTCAGATGTACCACATGTCTGTTATCCAAAACAATGGAGATATTTTAACTGTAAAGACAAATGTATGTTCATTCTTCTGAGGAAAGAAGAGGAATCACACTAATCAAAATCATGGACATCATACAAAATATTTTCCCTTTTGCAAAGAGGGGTTGGGTAGGAAATTTCAGCATACTGAAATAGAATTAATTAGTGCACCTCATTCCAGCCATAAATGAAAATGTAGAAATCAAAGTATTTTATACTTTAAAAAAACCAAAACACTTACAAGGATAGTACAAATTACTTTAAAACATGCCATGCTTAAAATTAGTTGGTTTCTCAAAATGAATTTTTTATGGCATATTTAGCTTCTTACTAAATAAATCTAGAAATAAGATCTTAAACTAAAAATTCGTCATAGTGTGATTGTTAAAAGAGAGACCTTTACAACTCAATTAAAAAAAAAAATCTTACTAAACTCAATAACATGTTTTCACTGTAAGAAAGAACTAAAAAGATAAATGTTTCTGTTTCAATTTACATTAAAACTTTAATTTTATCCATCTGCCAACTTCACCCACCCTTGCTACATCTTCCTTTTGGATGATTTCCAAATATTTCTTTTTTAAAAATCCATTGATTTAAAGGTGTTGCCAGTTATTCTAAGGTTTAAATAATTCTAAATCTATTTTTGTACCAAGATCTAATTTTTTTTATAGATCTATATGTCGCTTTCCTTAAGGAAAAAAAATTAAAACACTGCAAGAAGGATAGCCATAAGCATTTTCTTTCAGAAATCTGACACATTATTTATTAAAAGTCAATACAAATTCTATCGCTGATTTCAAATGAGTTACCACTGGAGTCTCTGTTCATCTGTAAGAAATGAATACAGAATCAGTGAAGCAAAGCACTACTTTGCTCAGTACAGGTCTAAATATCACTTGAAAATTTAAAAAAAACAAAAACAAAAAAATTGCTAGAAACACGATGAAACTTCTCCCGTTTAATATACAGTTCCCAGATAAGCCCTAGTTTAGAATGCATAGCATTTATTTTTGTTTTATACATAATGTTTTGCTGAAAAGTCAATATTAATTAATTCAGTTCTAATTTACTGATAACAAACAATTAATCTCTAGGGGGAAAAAAAGATATGTAGACAACTTCTCATAACACAACTTACTGAAACATGAAAGTTCAGAACTGTGTAAGCTGAAAAGTACATAAGGAGAATCAGCTCTTTTAAAACTGAAATCAGGAAGCCACACACTGGTTTGAAACCAGTACAAATTAAAAAGTTTCAGAACCAATTTTTTTGGGTCAGGAAATTTACTGTTTTCAGTCAATATTTCTTCGTATGCCGATTTTACTTTCACAAATAATGCCCATACTTCTTTGTTCGTTCTAGCTCAATATGCCTGAGATGACATTTAAAACCAGTCAGACTGCTACAAAAGTGTTATTTCCTCATATTGCACTAGGTTTGAAGTGTTGAGACTGAAACTACCATAAAATCTGCATAAATATAGGGTCTTTATATATATATTTATATATATATATATATATTTAGTCACACAAGGATTCAGTGAAGGATGAGACTTGAATGTGCTTTATTTAGATTTCTAAATCTTCCCTTTGCAAGAAAATTGAGACAATATGTGGGGGGGAGGAGACAGTTTTGATACCGTTTTTGTTATTATTTGTCATTAATTCCATCTTAAAAACAGAGAATTAAAATTCAACTTACACTTTTAGATTTTTTAATATTTTAATAATTAAATACCTCCTGCTCAACTTCACTATGTAACTCAATTTAACAATAATACATGAGGAGGTTTGGTAAACAGAATGGGTTTAAAACAGCATATACCTGTGCTTTGTATATTTTCAGAAACTCATCTGCTATTCTGGGGACAAAAATAAACTTTCCTTCTCAAAAATAGGCCTCAAGAGCCGACACAGACACTGAGTGAAGCTCAAGAATGCAAAGGATTTCAGCTTGTCAATAGATGACATTTAAGTGAAAAACCCAGCCCCCAGAAGGGAGTCTTCAACACCATAGTGACTGGGCTTGCAGCACACCTCTCACTAAGACAGGATTATAGGAATGTTTCCAAAAGCCAGATTACATGGGGGAAATTTGTACAGGGCATTAAGAAATTTTCAGTTTCTTTCAAAAGTGGTACATCTCAGAGAATGCCATATCACTCCACCCCTTGATAAGGAAATGTCAAAATCCAACTACTCATCTGTTCCCTAGTCTCAACATTCAAGAAGAAAATGGGAGTTAGTTAGAAGAGTGAGGAAAGAGCAGTAAGGAGCAGTTTGCAAAGACTGTAGCTCACATCATTGTAGAGAAACCTTCAAGGCACAAGGCAAATCATGACTCAGCCATTACTGAATGCAGCAAGATCTGTCTAATGCACTAATTTAGATGCCAAGACTATTCATATTAAAAATATTGGCTTCAGAAATATTTCAGGGAAAGATGTGAAAGTGTCTTCTAAGGAAGGTCAACAGCTGTGTTTCCAAACATAAATGAACAAAAAAGGAGACATAGAAGACACTAGATAGGCCAATAAAAACACTGGATGAAAACAAAGAGGAGGAAAGAGAGTAAAATGCACTGGGTTCATTGTTAGGGAGTTCATTTATGCAAAAAAGAACCCTCGTGCCAGCATCAGTTAACTATAAGTAGAACTACATGTTAGAAATTAATCCAATATATAAAACCTCCACCTTCATAATGCCACAGCCATTATAATTTCTGTGATATTTAAGCACTTAATTCCTTAAGAGTTCTTTTAAAATTTCTACTATATGTGACACCAGATAAAAAGCCCCTACAATTATATTTCCACACACAGCTGGATGCCTAAAAAGCTATGTTGCCCTCCAGTCTAGAGACAAACATATGCAGCTGATCAGATGGTGAAGCTCAGTTACACCCTAGAGGGAAGATTAACGGATCTGATAAACTCCTTCTCTAGGAAGGTAAAAAGCTGCTTCCAGACTATCACTGAAATCACAGTGATGGACAATTGGGTGATATAAGGTAGCACTGGCTGTTATTGGCTCCTGAATTACTGAGTTGCATCAGCTACCACACATGGGATGCTACAACAGTGAAAACTGAAATGGCTGGGATGGAGAACAAGCATCATTACTTGAGCATCAGGATTCCATCAGGCTGCAGAGTGAGTTCTCTACTCCAACAACATTATATAGGAGTAGAAATTCTGTGCCTTATCACAGGGAGGAAGCAAGGCATATGAATTATTTATTCTTACAGTTATTAGAAGATTTGGGATTAAGTAGAGAGCAAACCTGCAGATTAAAATGACCATCAACATTAAAAAATAGTCATTAAAAAATTTTTAAGAATTAAAATAGTGCTTTTTGCATATGATTGCACGTCAAAGTCAATTTTGTCCTTTGGAAACGACAGCATGAAGGTCAAAAGTATAAGTAAAGTGAAAATATCAGAGGACTTCAAGGCAAAATAATAGTTTCTTTACTTGGATCTTTAGTGGCATAACATTTCCCAGTGTAAGCTTGTTCCCAGATGCAAGCAGCTGCTACATGCTCATTTGTCCAGGAAACACATGGTTAGAAATATACACTCCTAATTTTAGTGAAGATGAATATTTTAAGGCCATCCTGAGTGAAATCAGAATACAAATGTTAAAACTGGCTTCTGTTCAGCCATATACAACGTGACAAGCATTTGCTTACTCTAGGACTGCAGAGGAAGCTTTTAAGACCACGCATATTTCCACTGTTTGCTTTAATGATACTTTGCAAAATTCCAGTTATATGAACTAGCTACTACCCCAGATACTGGAGGGTGAGCAAGGGAATGCTAACTCTTTTATCTGTTATCCATGACTTTAATCTTGGTTAAACCAAACTAGTAACCAGGAACTTCAGATGAGCATGGAGCCAGGAAACAAGAACAGAAATAAAGAGAGATTCAACTTACAATTAAATCTTGAATAAGTGAAATAGAAAGTATCCTCTTGATGCCATTTTCCACAATTACTCCAAACCAATTAAGTGTGCCCCAGTACCACAAATAACTCTGTCCTCCGTGCCAATAGCTTACAAAGGCAAAAGTGAGGGCTGTAGAAAATAGCATTCCAAGCAAACTGGACTGAGATCCTCCCATTGGAACATAAATGTACCTGTAGGTGAAACAACAGATAAGCAACTTCGTTAGAGATTTCACAGAAATCTCAGAAAGACATCCACCACAGAACAAATGTGTTAATTTCTAGCATAAAAAAAAATTTTGAATAATTACCTGACATGCTCTACTTACAGAGCTTGCCCTAGTTTCTGCAAAGCTGCAGACCACTTCATGAAATCTGTGCATGTAACATTTGGCAAAAAGACAGTTTTGTGGTCCTGGGAACTCTCTATTAGGCAATGTATAGCATAAACTACATTCTCAGAATTACAAATGGCAAATACTCAGGTTATTTAAACTGGAATAGTTCTAAGTCAACTACAAAAATTACCTGTAATCTTCATGTGAATTTAAATGATAGAACTCTTAACAAAAAATTTAAAGCATTATACATAGTCATAACCCATAGACCATTTTCCTTTTGTCAGAAATAGACTTACATGCAAATATGTTTTAATTTTAGAAGTTTGTGATTTCTTTCTTTTTATTTCTTTCATGAAACATTATATGAAGTGAAAATATTTCCTATTTTGGTCTTATATTATACTCTCAGGATCATGTCTTCCTAATGACCTTCAGAGTACATGTACCGAAAAAGTCCCAAAACCCATATGAAGCATTCTGCATGCATTCTGTATTTAAATTGAATCCAAGAGTCAGAATATTAGTCATTATTTGATGCTTGTAAGTGTCCAGAAAGCAGTGCTCCTTCCGTAAAAAGAACAGAAGCAATGGGATTCTGAAAACTGACGCTCTTTTGTGGGTCATTTCACTTCCATCCTTCCTAAAGAACTACATCCACTCCTGGCATTTTCTGAGTAAAGCATGGCCACTGGCCAGAATTTATTTGAAGAAGTTGCATATTTCTGTCAACACCTTGAAGAAGCCCATCAGGCAATGGAGTCACCATCCAGCTCATGGGTACCAGAGAGGAGGTGTGCTATATGAGAACTATCAGTGACAGCTCTCCTCAGCTGTCACTCCTTCGGCATCACACACTGTACTCATTTGAGACTATTCCTACTTACTAATTAAAGAAAATTTTTTGTAGTGAAGTTATCAGTTTTCACATTCAAAGATAAATATTAGCTTAAAAATTTAAAAGGGAAATTAACATACTGCTTTTTTCCTAATCTTAGGAAGTAAGAAAATAAGTAACAGGGTAAAAGAAAGTGATGAGCATAATTAAAGGGTAAGCAGAAAAGTCATTAAAAAAACAACTGTCAAATGCTCTAAATGCTCTTTAAGTATAACATCAGTACACGTTTTTACTTCAACCTGCTACAGGGAACATCTGATTACATTTATAATGTTTTCAAGCATGGGCATGCTTTTTCACTAAACATATGAAAATAAATAGAACTTAAGATCAATAGTTTCTATTTATGTTGTGTTTTTCTCCTCTCTCCCCTTCCTACGTTTAAACAATGTGAGAATAACAGACACTTGCAATCGCAATCAATTAATCTCATAGCAGAGATGTTCATCTTAGCAGTCTGTAACCAGGTGAATTCCCTGCAGGACTGTGGCATGGAAGGTGAAAAGAGCAGAGCCACAGATCCCGCTGCTTCAGCAAATTCCTTCTACAAAAAGGATTATAGAAATGAGAGAGCCCTTTTTAAAGGCTAATTGGTTTATTTTTTAGGCAGGGTCCATTGCTCCAGGCTGGCAGGAGGAGGGCTGTCAGCCCTGCTCCGAGGCAGGGAAACCACATCCCTGAGAGGAGCACCTCCGTGCCCCGACGGCCCTGCAAGCACAGCAGTGCTTTGTTTCACAGAGCTTCACCTGGAGGAGCCCGAAACAGGACACTGCCAGCCCTGCCATGCTCAGAAAAGCTCATTCTCTGTCTGCCGTACATTTACTGAAACACAGCACTTAAAAGTAACCCAGACACTACCTGTGACAGAGACCTGACTCTAATCCCCAGAGAAACCCTTCTGCTGACTTCATAAGGCCCTGGGTTAAATCCATGGCACAAAAGGTAGCTTTCACTGCAGAAGTAGCTCTGGATTTCTGCACAGTCCCCTTTCCTGCAGTGAGACTGTTTTGTATGCTCCAGCCCTCTTGTCAGCACAGGCAGCCTCCACTGGCACTGCCATTGCCCGGAACAGCTCAGCAGCACCAACTTGTTCATTTCCAATTGCAGCTCAGTTTAGGTTGGCCTGAAGCGTTTTCAGTTTACTGTGCAGATAAAAATAGGCTATTTTCTGATTTTTAGTGTTTAACAGCAGCAGCTAGATGATTGAGCGGCAATAACTCATAATTCTGATGAATGTTCAAGGTTAGTGAAGTTCTAGCTCCTAATGAGACCCATGGCAAATGTGCAACAGAAAATACACTTGCACTGTCTATGTGAAAACCTGTCTGAAGAAGGACAGAAGGCAAAATGAGTCAAAATCTTTACTAACACTTTGACCTTCCCCTCCAGTACTGTGGAGAGTCTGCCTCCCTTCCCAGAGGAGAAATGCAAAGCAGAAACCAATGCCCCTTTTCTTCCCTGCTAGTGCCATGAGAAAATGGAAAGGCAGCTGGCTGCCATTCCTTGTCACAAGAGCAGTAATTACTCTCAGATGGTGTGGTCTTTCCTCCCCCCATCAGGGCATTCCCACTGGCAATTTTAAAGTGGGTATGAAGGAGTGATTGATGTTGAGTCATTTCTAACAGTGTGAAGAGCAAATCTGTAAGTTCCTGTGTTTTTTACACAGAAAAAAATATTGTGAAAAATTCATTGTTACATTACAGAACAAATGAGGAAAAAAAACTTTGCTACCTCTTCATCCATGCACATCCTATACATGTGATGTACTCGTCCATACATGCTTATGTTGGCAGGTCTGCATACAAGCAATAGACAACTCAGTGTGCAGCCAGGGGCAGAGCCTGCCTCAATGCCAGACACTTTGTGCTCTCTGACATAACCAAAATTGTTACAAAAATGCATTTTGCTTATTTTTTAGCATCCGGGTAGTTTGGAATCTAATTTCTCAATACTTTCCCTGTGTGTTTTCACAGAAGAGTACTCATTTGATTACACTTACACTTGAGTGCGACAGAGAATAAACCAGTAAAACACATTATTAAGCCAGATGTGGGAGAAACATATTACTTCTGTATTATCATTTACAACACAACACACACTTTGTAAAAAACAATTTCTTATGGTTTAACCCTGGCCAGCAACTAAGCCCCACACAGCCCCTCACTCACTCTCTCCTGGTGGGATAGGGAAGAAAAGGAGTCTCTTACAGTACATTTGGAAAGTTGTTAGCAGTTTGCTAACGAAATCCGTGAGAAGGGAAGGAAGAAGGCAGGGAGAGAGAGAGTTCAAGGGGCAATGGCTACTGCAATTTGATGTCTTTTTTATCTGCATGCTTCATAACTTTTCTCTTTACCAATACTACTGTCTACCTTCAATCTATCCCTTCAGTCCCTCTGTACTGTGAACCCTGTACTATACCCAGGGTTTAAACAAATAGAGAAGTTGCTGTAGAGCATGTTGACCTGCTGCACCATATGTAGAATAGCATTACATAAATATGTCATTTGAAGCTTTCATGCAGCTTTTAAGACTATTCTCATTTCTAATCACAGAAAATCCATGGCGCAGCTCAAAATCCCCAATTCAGGGACTACTAGCACATAAAAGTAACCGTGGGTCCTCATGGCAGCCTAACACATCTCAAAGAAACACCCTTGTAGCAAAGTTTCTTAATAGCTCATAAACAGATTACACATTTACTCTAGGTGTGCAAGGAGGGCAGACTTAGCTGAAAAAATGTGGTGCCATTATACAAAAAATTTATCTTAACTCACGGACTCACAGGAAAAGAAAACTCAGCAGTTATTTGGTGGTCAATGAACCAAAGGCAGACAAATGAGAGGAAGCAACAAAATATTTTGCAAAGAGAAAAGGATGTCAAGATAAGTAGATCTGAGGGTAGTAATTGGTCATGTCCCTCCACGTTGTTTTAGAAGGATAGGCAACACTGGTCCCGCTTAAGATCCATGAAAATTACAAACAGGAAGATTAGACCTGTGGGAGATGCTTAGTATCAAAAAATGCAGGCTAGGTGAGTATTTCAAAATAAAACATCAACTTGGGGGACCAAAAGTCAATCTCTTACAAAACTTTAAAGGTGAAATTTGAAGGTGAAAGAACAGATTTCTAGGCAGACTATCAGCAAGGAACTTCTAAATGCCACAGGCCAGGCTTTGCCAACCATTCCTGGGCTGGCTAGACCTCCTTTAAGGAAAACAAGGAAAGGCACATCATGATGTTAGAAGAAAACATTGTGCACAGTAGATAAAGAGAAGAGAAGGGGGAAGAGAAGAGAACACCATGTAATTAAGAGTACCTCAAAACATCTGGAGTGCGTTTGAAGCACATAAATAGAAATTTTGAGAGGATGTTATATAGCAAAATTATTTGCACACACACCCCCAAACCTGACACAACTAAACATACGTTCTTAGCCTTCCCCTCCCAAGGCAAAGATGTCAGTCTTAACTATATTTCTATAGACTCTGCTTTGATTTCAAACTAAAACTTACACACTATTAAACATGTTACTTTCACAAACAAAGCATACTGTGCGTGTGTCTTCCGAATAACAAAGCGCCTTACTTTTCATCTCATGTACAGTAGTTTAAATCAGCTTATCCACAGCCAGCAAGCTGTTCCATTTACGCAATTTATCTTGATTTTAACTCACAAAGTGAACATTAGAGAATTGGATAAAATATGCAAATGGTACCATCTAAATCCCTAAAGTAATGCAAACACAAACATAATAGCTGAGGTATTTAACAGTGACATTTACTTACAGAGAATACCTTTTAAATCCAATAACCATTTTGTTAGTTTTCTTGAAGTGGTAATCTACAGAACAATCATAAGAGATCTGACAACCATTCCCTCGGAAAACATACCGTTTCTTTTCTGTTAATGACTCTACATTAAAAAGTTTTTATTCTGGTATCTTCAGAAAACCTCTA